CATTCTGTCACCGATGGAGTTTTGGTTCCTTGCCGCTGTCGCCTCTGGCTTGCTTAGTTGGGGACACTTAATGTCCAGCGATATCATCGACTTGATTGCACAGATACTAATTAAACTGAACTGAGCTGGATGATGACATCACTGAATTCAATGATGAACTGCCTTTAAAGCTGCAGTCCGTAATTTTTTTTGTTTAAAAATGATCCGAAATCAATATTTGAGCAAGTACATGACCAACCGATGTTCAAAACTATCGCCTTAGTTTAGTCCGATTCACAACGGTAAGCTTATAATAATGTTTTCTAATTTGAGTGCTACGGGTAGGTTTTCGCGGGAAATTCAAGCATGGTACTGCGTCATTACGTCACATCTGTAAACATAAAGAAGTTGTCCTGGCTAGTAGGCTATATCGCATGTGCGGATCCTGCAGGTAGCGCATCGTTTATAGCCTTTTCTCACAGCAGCTAGAATAATTAATTTTATCATTTTAATGGCGTATTGTAATTCAGAAAGGATTATGTGTTTATGAAACGCATGTGAATGAAATTAAATTATATTCCAGTTTTAAATGTGCATCTGATTACAGATAGCCTGGGATTACACAAGATCTGTATTTTAAAGACAACCAGTTCGAAGGGAGCATAATTTGCTCTTTGGGTAAAAATAATTTCTTAATATGAAATTTGAATGGTATGACAATTAGAGATTAGACTGTACAGAAACTGAAATCACACCCTAATATACACTATACTCATAGTCACGCAATGCTGATGTTAACATTAATAATTTGAGAACAAAGTATAACAATAATAATAATTTGCACGGTTTGATCACCGTTGGTCAGAACAAACGTGGCAGACTTGTTACTTACTTGTTTAGATGACAGTATATGGTGAAAATTCTTATTTGGGTCATATATTCCAAGACTTAGTAGGCTAGAATCTGTGATTGTGAAGTACAGTAAATATCCACACCGGTGCCGTGACTGACTACCACACATTCACCTCAAAACATTAGATTAATCCATGCTGGAGCATAACCCCACGCATGGAATACAATTACGCAAACAGCTGCAATTGCAGGTTTTCACACAGAGATGGCGACAAAGAGGCAAAACTTACGGACTGCAGCTTTAACTGAAAATTTAGTGTTTACCATTGTAATTTTTCATTAATGACACACTGTTTTCCTAATTAATGCTGTACAGTTGCTTTGACAATCTGTATTGTTAAAAGTGCTATATAAATAAAGGTGACTTGACTTGACTTGTAAGTGGAGAGGGTTATGCTATATAGTCCTCATCCTAAGTGGCGTGGGTCTCATTATTGGCTCATGCTTACAGGAGCCCTCAGTACGGGTGATCCGGGGCTGGGCTTGCAGAGCGGCTTCGTTCTGCACTTGCTTAAAGCAAGGAGCTATTGGATGAGCTCCCCATAAGCATCAGCGACGCAACAGGAGAGACCGTTCGAAAGGGAAACGCTCCAGTTACTAACGTAACCTCGGTTCCCTGAGATAAGGGAGTGACCATTGTGTAGGCTGCCGTGCTATAAGGCTGCATGCAAATGACTAAAGACTAAAGACAATGACTGTCACTTCAGTTGAAAGATTCTGATGAAATGGCACTCAGAGCCGACTTGTATAGCGGTCAGCTCCTCCCCATTTGGCGGGTTGAAGTGCCATTTGTTTCATGCAGTTACACGAACGTGAACAAATCAGGCTTCAGTATCAGAGTGAACAGGAGTTTCCCCATAAGAGTCAGCGACACAACGCTCCTTCCCTTATCTCAGGAAACCAATGATACATTAGTAACCAGTGCGTTTTAACTTCCCTCAATCTACCATGGATATTTCTGCTTCTTCATAGTCAGGTGGCTGAAACTCCACATAAAGAGGTCAAACTGATGCATTAATGCTGTAAACAATGCTTAAATATTGATTCACATGAGTAATTTCTTGTTAAAACTTTAAGTACATATGTTCTGTGCACCAAGGCCACATTATTCATTTTCTTTGAATGACAGGGAGCCCAATATCAGTGTGTAACAGACTTACAATGAAGCCAACTGAAAGTCTTTCCTTTTGCACCAACCAAAGAAAACTGATGAAAATATTATACAAATTGTTTGTCAAGTTTGACCTTTTGACTGTCTGCTGTTGACAGATGTCAATGACAACGTTCCATTCTTCACCTCCTCCATATGCGAGGCATCTGTGACTGAAGGGGCCGAAATTGGGACTCTAGTTCTCCAAGTGTCAGCTAATGATCTTGACCTGGGACTGAATGGGAAGGTATGAAATAGTGTTTTTCAATTGAAATAGTTATTCACTCAGTCAACATCCATCTGTAAACACTGTATTCATACAGTACTCTATGCTAAACAATATGGTCACTGTTGAAAGATCTGTAAAATTCAAAGAACATTTGTGATACAGCCACGTTTTAAATGAGGATGAATGAAATGATCTTTATACTGTATCTCACTATGACCTCCAAAACATTTCTTCTGATAGAACACTGGCTACTATTTCTCTGCAGTATTTATATCATATTTCAGTGGGAAGGCAAACATGTCTGTAGTTCTTATATTTCATTATTTTGTAGATAAATGTATGTACTGCACACATTCAAAGGCATATCACTTATATTTTTAATTAGAATGATATGCAGTCTGTCATTCTATATATCATTCCACCGTTCAAAATATTTAAAAAATGTTTTGGTAGAAGTCTCTTATGCTTAATAATACTGCTTTTATTTGATGAAAAATATAGTAAAACAATAATACTGTGAAATAATAATTGTATTACAGTAGAAAGTATCTGTTAGTTTAATATATTTTAAAATGTAATTTATTTTATGATGACAGCTGAATTTTCGAAGCCATTATTCCAGTTTGTCACATGATCATTCAGAAATCATTAAGTTTGGCTACTTAATGTTTTTGTGGAAACTATAATACATTTTTAGGATCCTTTAGATGAATAGAAAGTTCAAAAACAGCAGCATTTATTTGAAATATATATTTTTGCAACATTATAAAAGTCTGTACTATCACTTGATCAATGCTTTTGTCCTTGCTATATACATTTACAACAAAAAACGTACTATATATTTTGCAGACTCCAAACTTTTGAGTATGTTTCTGTCGTTCTATTGGCCAATAGTGAACATGTGCCTTTCAGCAATCCTCTGAATTACAAATGCCATGCAATGGCACAATAATGCGTGTCATTTGTGGGTGTGAATGCTAATATCATTATTTTCTCTTACAACACCCCCTCACACACAGCCCCTTTTGTGCCAGATGGGGTTTGCTGCATGTTTTATTAATCTGACCCCTGCAATCATTTTATTATGCCTTTTACATTTAATTCAGCCTCTTACTTGTGTTCTCGGCTCTAATGTGGCCAGCAGGGCATCATTTAATACTCACACCATGCTGGTTTAGTGCAGCCATTCAGAGCAGCTTGTCTGGTAATTGTTGTTTGGGCCTTGTTGAAACAGCAGTTGGCACTTCTTCCTCAATTCAACAGTTTTGGCTATCTAGATTAGCTTCATTATTCTTAACTTGAATGGCCTTGATTTCTGCTTTACCTGCTGGGAAATTGCCAATATGCGTTACAGGCATTACTGACAAAACACACAACAGGAGGTCTCAGCTTCAGGTCAGAACGATTGGTGAATAAATTATGAGGAAAAGGCTGGATTGTTTAATTGCATGTGGTTAGATGAGGCGGAATAGCGTTAAACACACATATACATGCACATAGGCAGTAACATGTACACAGGAAGACCAGTATTAATTGTTAAAGTCGGCATGAAACGGAAGTTGCGATTGTCTTTTCTTCTCTACTGTGGCGTATCCTAGTGAAACGGCATCTGAAATGAGAGGGCGGGACTTGATTTCGTCCTTCGGGAATTGATTGGATCGTTGGAAGCTGGGGCGTTGCTAACAAAATGGAGGCAGATCTGAATGCCAGTTTGCAGTTTGTGGTGGGGGATTTCTCTCTGAATGACTGAGTGTGTCCTCCATCAGGTTAAGTCATACTCATGGGATCTGAATGCCATTTTGAAGTAGTGGTGGGGGATTTCTCTCTGGATTCACAGCCGACACCCAAGCATGAATAAATGTTTTATCTATTAAGGATGATGACGACGATCAATGGCACAAAACATGCCTAAACAGCATGCACGCGCGAGAGAGAGCGAAAGAGAGAGAGACTGCCTGAATGACTGAGCACGTCCTCCATCAGGTTAAGTCATATTCATGAAAAAAATTAGTTTGCGATGTCCTAAGAGTAATGTTGTCATAATATCCTAATATCTTTTCAATGTTTAGGGGTAACATACTCCCTCATGACTGGTATCAGTGCTATAAAGTGAAGCATCAGCTTCAGCTTTTCCCCCTGTTGTTTATCCCAGCATTTACCCCTCACGTGACTAACTCCACCCTTGCGCCATAGCTCGTGACCGGAAGAGAAGATGAGTCGTTTTGAGGGGGAGGGGAGGTTAACGTTTTTGATTAAAGATTACGAGGGCACATGAATTAAAAAAAAATAATGAAGTGCACGGATAAATTATTTATAATAAACACTACAGTATTCCATTAAAAAATTAATATTTTCAAATTTGATTTCATGGTGACTTTAATAAATTTTTCACACAACCCTGTTAACTGTTCTGTGACATGTTTGGCACTATTTCTCCTCTGTATTTAATTTATTTTTGCCAATTTCTTTTTTGTTGTGTCTCAGATCTCATACTCCCTACTGAATGACCGTAGTGGAGACTATCAGTACTTCCGCATTGATCCTGAGCTGGGCACCATCTACACAGAGGCTGTGTTTGATCGAGAGACCAAGGGATCTTACCTTTTGGAAGTGAAGTCAGTAGATGGCTGGGAATCATCCAGGCCAGGAAAGCATGGACAGCCTAACTCAGGTACAGCGAGCCCTATGTGGCAGAGTTACAGTAAATAGTTAAAGCTAATATGAAAATAGGGAAAATATTCACACTTATTATACATTATACAACAGTTACTTCCCGTCCTCAAATCTGATTGGTTGAGCAGCATTACAAAAATTCTGATATACAGTCCAAAATCACCGGGACTGGATTTCTGTTTGTAACATTGTTACGTGCTTGTAAATCAATAGATGGCCACAGTTCAGTCATTGAATCATTCATTGAACTAATTAATTCAAAAACACTTTTATTCAGGAATGCTACTACTGTGTGTGGTGCAGAAATACACAAAGTAACTGACAATCAGGGTTGGAAGTTAATGGGAGTATGGGTCAAAAGTACCACTAAAATGACTGGAAAATGCCCCTAATTTTGAGATGGGGGCAGAAAGTGCCCCTGTATGGGTTCTTGTCTTTATATTTATAACATATCATATAGTTAAGCAATATCGATGTTTTTCCCAAATATTATCACAAGTGCTGATATGATAATGATTTTATACCACAGTCCAATACACAAGATGTTAATATTAAGTGACTTACTTTTCAGACAGTTTCACCAATGAAAAAAAAATCAAAACAAAGCCACAACAAAACTGTTGCACCTCTACGAACAAAACACTACTGGATTTTTGAATGAATTAGGCAGATCAGTGAATCAATGACCCTTTATAAAGACATCCACTTGCTTGGTTCCTGAATTAATCAGCCACTTGAATGATTTGATTCAATGAATGACTGAATCTAAGACTCACTCATTGGTTTGATTGCTCTCAAGATTGGTTTGCACTCTGAACATAATTTTTTACTTAAATTAAAGCAGTTCATAATGTCATGAGATTAAAGTTTATTCAAAAACATTAATCTCATGACATTATTTACTGTGAAACTACATCTAAATGCCACTTCAGATGCAGCATCTGAGCCACATCTGTAGTCCAAAGATGGATTTTGTTGGCACTGATTTCATTTGATTGGTAACAGCATTATAGTTTTTAAACTACATTTAATAAAATATAAGAATTGTACATAAAGGACAGTGTATACTTATAATACACTCCTTGAAATCAGTTTAAGGGGGCAAATATCTCTTCTTAATGGAAAGTAAATTTCACTGCTGATAATTGTGTCTGGAAAGAAAGTTATTCAATAACAACTTTATTGAACTGTTGTATAAAAGCAATATGACACTTGCAGTCGGTATTAGGCTGCTATAAATACAATATAATTCTCACACATTTTGGTTACGACTTCCACTATATAACCCATTTTAAAACCAAAATGCCTCTCTTAAATATTCAGGAATCATGCAGACCATATTTAATGCATGTGTTTGTCACTATCACTAGGGTCACTGAATGCTATCAATAAACAAGAATTTATTCAAGATTCATACAAGTTAGTAATTACAGCTGTCAGTCACAAACACTGACTGTTTGAACATCGCCAGTGGGGTTGTGGGATTTCACAATACAGAGCTAAAGAGGATCTAAAGTTCAGGGGAATATTTCCATTAGCTGCATAAAATATTACATTGCATAATCCTTGTTTAATATAGACAGCGTGACAGTTTGATTGGATTTGTTAGACCACAGGGCTAGCCAGAATCTCTCACAAATGTATTTTTAATTCATTGTGTGGAATATTAACAGTGTCTCTTTTGCCTTTGCTTTGCCTAAATAACCCACTAACACTTGAAGTCAGCTAGATAAAAGTTGCTGGTTTAAATGTTGATGAAGGTGCCAAAGGAGAGGGGGAAATATCAGGGAGCAGCAGGGACAGTCTGAGAAAGAAATGAATCTGCTCCAGTTCTCTCTGTCCTCCCGTGCTGTCTGTCTGCTCACCGTTTGCCCTGCACTCCAAATAGAGGAGAAGTCGTGCACTCCCACACACTTACAACTGTAGTGAAATACACAAATGTAAATTATCAAGCACACAGGAGACAGAGTGTTGATTAGCGGAGAGTCACATGTACACACACATAATTACTCAGAAACATGTGAATGCTAATTGTACTAAGATGCTGTCAAAATGTCAATATGACAAGGAAACTAAACAACACAAGTGCTCTTTGAGCAGAAAATCACACAACAGAGTTGGGCCTCTGCATTTGTGCCTTCATGGCAGGGCTCTGAACAACATGCCAACCTGTCAAAGAGTGGCAGCTAAGCGTATGCTGTGCTCTTCTTACACAACATAACATGTCAGAAAGAGAGCAGGATCAAGACTCGAATCAGAGTCTATCTGCCTCTCACAGCCCTGACTGAACTGAAGGCTCTGAAAAGGTCACGGCATGTTTGATTGTTAAAGTAGCATAAGATTTCTTTTTGCTTTAAAGGGATATAGTTCACATAAAAATGAAATGTCTCCTGTCATTCTAAACCTGTATGACTTTCTTCAGTGGAACATCAAAGATATATATTGAGAGATTCTCTCTTCTCAGTGGTTACCAAACCTTTTTGGTGACCAGTATTCTTCAAAATGTCTTCTTATATGTTCCACTGAAGAAAGAATGTTATAACGTTTTGGAACGACAACAACATGAGGGTAAGTGATTTTGATGCAACCAACCCAAGTTTGAATCTGCTTTTTTCTGATTCCATTCTTCTTGTTCCAGTCGCATATCAGCTCGGAGAAGCATTTATTTTGAATTAAAAATTAATAAAATATTTAAAAAGGGTAAATAAAGTGAAATAAAGCCCAAAAGGTATTTATTATTGGAATTAAAGTGTGTTGGATAATTTAATAGGCCTTTCATTGAAATAGGATGAGGTGTCCTCACCTTTATTGGAGGTTTAATACGGTTAAGGGGTTGGGATTTAGGGATTGAGAAACAAGTAAGGTCCCAATATGGCAGCCATATTTCCATTTATGATTAAATATATATATATATATATATATATATATACACTGAATTTGTTATTATTATTATTGCACAGTTTTTATATTGTACTACAATACACTGAAGTGTTAAAGGTATCTGCCACTATCTGCACGAAGTATAAATAGTATAACACTATTTACGCTGTGTGCAAATAGCCCGTCTTTCATTTCTGGGTGAACTTTTCCTTTAATAATTGCTCTTATCTTAAGCAGCAGATTGTAATTGATGTGTCTACTGATAATTATATCACATAGACCTCATTTAAATGGGGCAAGCATCACAAATTTTACTTGCTTGCACTCAGTAAACACACAACTCCCAGGGTTCTTCACATCACCTAATGACTTCAGGCACGACGTAGAGCCACACGCATGAGAAGAAGATGGAGAGATGAAGATGGTCAGAAAATGAATGCGACAAACAGAAGACACAGGAATTTGATGGGATTGGAAATGTCAGATACGAGAAAAGGGAAGTGTAAAGATAAGAGTAGTGTGAACACAAATTGCTAATCTTGTGTGTTTCTACTCTTGTCAGATACTGCGTATGTGCGTATTTTCATCAGCGACGTGAACGATAACAAGCCGGTGTTTGCGCAGTCTGTGTATGAAGTTGACGTGGATGAGGATGCTGACGTGGGCTCCACCATCCTCACAGTCAGCGCTAATGATGAAGATGAAGGTAGGTGAAGATGAGGAGGGGCATTGGATGATGGGTAGAACAATATGCTCATTTGTAAGACGGAAGTGGGAAATATGGAGTGTTGACTAGGGGTGAAAATGAGGGTCGTAGATTTGAGAATCTGACATCACAGCTCAGGTGTGATCTTCAACACTTGATATATTTTCTACAAGTTGTAAAGGGAATGTAGAATAATTAATTTATGAAGAAGAAAAAAATCAACAACATAATTAATTATGAGGTAAAATTGTACATTTTTATTATACATTTCACTTTATATTTAAAGATTAATTCAGAATTTTAAAAATATGGAAAAAAGGAAGATCAAATAAAAAGGGAAATATTCTTTCAATATTTACAGTGTTACTGCAGTTGGATTACATTAGGGCATAAACCTCTCAAAGGGCTTGGCTAGCACACAGCGATATTAATGAAACACAGTTAGAACATGTTCCCATGAGTTTGAGTTTGTCTCCAGGCTATTGCTCTCATATTCTTCTGCTCCATGCAATAACATCTGTGCCACTCGTGAATGAGAGACAGAGACAGTTGGTTCCTCATCAATATACCCTGAGAACATAACAAATGCTGCTCCCAAGATAACCAGCCTCATACATTGCCATTCAAAAGCCTTGGCTAATATTTTTGTTTTATCACACACTCCAGAAACACGCACAAAGAGGATAGTCTACATAACTCATCAGCCAGCCTGTCTTGGTATATAGATGCACTACTGAAGCGTGTAATTCCCTGTGGTCCAGTTGAATCCACGATTAGATGCCAGAGCGAGGAAGGGAATTCTTGTATCAGTCATTCATCATTATACAGCCTGGAGTGGCTGGACATTCCCTGAGCCTGAAACTTTACCCTGATGAATGGATTTTAGCTTTCTCTGCAGCTCTGACTTAACCCTCGCAGCCACTGGAGCAGAGCCACGGGAAACTGATGAGACATCATAGTACATCGTCTCGGTTACGTATGGTAACCCTCGTTCCCTGAAGGAGGGCACGAATAGTCGACCGAAAATGCGTGCAGGTCCCCTGCCCTCTTGATGGAGGCAAATGCAAGCAGGAGCAGAGTTTTCATTGACAGAAACTTCAGCTCGACCACCTGCAAAGGCTCAAATGGGCCCTGCTGTAGTGCTGTAGGGAGAAGGAACCAGCAGATCGGTTTCTGGCAGTAAAAGGTGCCGTCCATGACCTGATGAGCCCCTCATGCACTTCCGGGAAGAAAGGCACTTGAGGCGGGGCGCTGAGAACCAGCGCGGACCACCCCGAAGAACCAATGGTCCAACCTTGAGGGCTCGGGACACGGTGGAGGCCTCCAATACCCAGCACGTTCCATTGGCAGCTCAACTGGTTGCGGAGTGCCTCAGACCGCCCGCGCTACTGCCTGAAGTAGCCCCCTGCAACACAAACGGGGTAGTGCAGCCTGATGTGTGCAACCCACTCGACACGGGAAACCACCACCGCTGAAGCGCCGTACTGCCAACATGAAGAGCTGTCCAAGAGCGCGCTGGACTCGTTCAGTCTTCTTCTCTCAGTAGAGTAGTCAGGAGCAGAACGATGTGATCGCTCGGCTCCGAAGCGAAAAGCTGAATATGCGCTGCATCTGCTGCCTACTTATACTCACGCTGTGATCAGCGGCAGCTGGATGCAATAATCGCATGCCAATGTGCATTGGCTCGTTTAGTTTACACTCTAAGTAGATTGGTCTCTCTTAGCGAGATCCCAATTCATCGGTCATCCGACGTAACGTCGAGAGTGACCGACTGAAAGGGAACTGTACTTACACAAGGAAGCCGTGCTTGATTCTGTGCATTAGCAGAAAATGCAGATAAGCCAAATATTCCCTAATGCAATTTTGTGGTGGTACCCTAGGCAACACGAGATGGTGGAGATGAAATGGCGATAAGGCTCCTAATGTGTCGTTCCCTATTCATTAACCTCGTACCAGCAGGGATATCCAAACACACTGCAAGATCTGAAGGACTGTTAAGCAGGAGTGTTTTTGCTCTGTTTGTTTAACTGGGTTATTTGTTTATATGAAGTCTCTTTGCATTTATTACCTACCTCAGAGAGATTTAGTCCTAAATACAAAATAACAGCAGAGTAATAAAGAATTTAATAAAATAGCATGCTCAAAACACAAGCATTGCATCTTTCACTGTTTAATTATCAGAGCTCAAGCGGGGATCCAAACATTTATTATAACTTTTCTTTTAAGCTGGTTTCGACTTTGCGCTCCATTCACTTACATCCGTTCGCTTATGAATGAAATGTGTACAAAAGTTCAGGTTTGGTGAACTTTGACCTACAAATTAAGTTAGCACAAAGACATTTGAGCAACACAGAACCTAAATATCACAGACTGGCTGGATTCAAATAACACACAATCTTAAAACTATGTGGTTTGCCGTGTTGTGAGGTCACAAGTATTTTTGCATACTCAAGTGTGGTTGTTGTCTACTGTACTGCAGCTCTCATTGGCTACATTCACAACACAGGTGATTGTGACCGAAATCCATTTTTTTAGTGAGATTGTTCTCATGTCCTATTAAATGTGCCAGCCAATTTTATCTAACACCATACAATCAGTTTGTCATATGTGTTAGTCCGTGTGTCCACCAAAGCATTTTTTTTTTCTTGTGAGGCTAGCATATTTTTCAAATGTTTTTGGTGGGAGCACTTCATATTTTCAAAAATGGCAGAAGCGTGATGAGGCGCTGAGTGTCTATTTTACACTATGCATTTTTTTCTTGCTACTGAGAGTTGAAAAATGTTCAGCGTTGAGTAAAATGCATCACTGTCACTTTTTATCTAGCCGTCCAGTCACAGTGGAGGAGAGGCAGGACAAATATCACACCAACCAATGTCACATCCTACTTATACCATGACTGAACAACAATGGAGGAGAAGTTAATATGCTTGTAAAAATAATAATATTATGATTATTCATGTCTGTACCAGATGAAATTCCTGGACTAACACCAATATTGAGAAACAATTAATTTGCGATGTAACTGCCACATTACTTCAGTGGATATTTCATCTCATAGCAGCCAAAGTGTCTTAAAGAAAAAAATAAAAATAATAAAAACACCCTTTTTAAATATGTAAGATTAAATGTATAGTTATATAATGAAACTGATCATTTACTCCCCCTCACTTCATTCCAAACCTATATGACTTTATTTCCTCTGTGAAACACAAAATAATATATTTTGAACCTTGTTTTTTAGACCCCTGCTTTCTTCAAAATATATTTTGTGTTTTGCAGAAGAAAGTCAAAGAGATTTGGATTGAGTCCACTTTTTTACCTTTCTTCTGCTAAATCAAACTAAACTGTCAATGATTTCATTCAGAAATAAATTAAATCTGAGTGGCATGCACAAATGCACAGAATGGGGGTGGGTTGTGGCATTGACAGAATAAAAAAAAAGATACATTTAAGATACATGAGTCTTGAGCACTATGTTTTCTTTTGAGTTTGAACATTGGGTGCTTCAGAAGAGACAGCTGAATGGACCTTTGATTAAATGTCTGACAAGAGCTATGCAAAAGTACAAAGCAAAGTTTTAGTGCAGGACTAATCAGAAATAAGTGAATGTTTTCATGGACCATTGTTAAAAATGTTTAGAAAATGAATATAATTTTTAATTTAGTCTTATCTTCACCTAATTTGAAGTTTATTGGTCTATGTTTCCATGGTGGCGAGTTTCCAAGGCTAATCTTGACAATAACCTCTAAAGGCCATTGAAGCAGTTTATTGTTCACCTGCAGCAAAAAGCTTGTTATCGTATTTTAAATAGATACATTTTTTTTTTTTTTGCAAATTTTTCCACTTTTAGAAGTTTCTGACTTTTAGCCTTTTGAGTAGCGTTTATATCAGTGTCAGTGTAGGTCTTTGCTTTCCTCTTTATTCCTCTTAAGAATTAATTCAGGACAGAGGAGGAAGTTTTCTTTGTTTTCATTAACTGCTCTTATTCTTCAGGTGCTAACGCCAAGTTACGCTACCAGATTACATCAGGCAATGTGGGAGGTGTTTTTGACATGGAGCCCGAGGTGGGAACCATCTTCATTGCCCAGCCATTGGACTATGAACAGAACAAGCTCTATAAGTTGCACATCTTGGCCTCCGATGGGAAGTGGGAAGATTACGCTACTGTAATAGTGACTATTGTGAATAAGAACGATGAGGCACCTGTGTTCTCTGTGAACGAGTACTACGGCAGTGTGACAGAGGAGATGGACGGTTCTCCTGTCTTTGTGTTGAAGGTACTGCCTTTAGATTCTCTTTATTGTACATATCAGCTCTTTTCAAGTTTTCAGATCATATATTTGTTATTTTAAAATAGCAACTTTTTGTGGCCCATATTCCTTAATTTAAAAAAGAAAGAAAGAAAATGTTAGGAGTTGCTCTAAATTAAACGAAAAGAGGTCATGGATGTGTAATTTACCACATTATTCTTCCATTAATAGGTTTTTGAAACTGAATAATACAACAATTCATTGGAAATTGCCCAAACACTCGTTTATGTTACCTTGCCAGGGTATTTTGTGTTTCTTAATTATAGTGAAAACTGTGATTGATTTGTTCTGTTGAATGCATTCAATATTTTGAACGAGTCTCTAGAGGTTCATGCATAATTATTAAAGCCCAAAAAAAGTTAATTATTAAAAGTCTGAATTTGCAGCGAGTGACATCACTTTATTTGTCCAAAGATGTGAGAGGCTCATTTTCAATCTCAATGTTTATTTTTATTTTTTATACAAAAGTTGGTGGAGATAATCTTATTTCCTAACTTTTAAATTTTCTTAGTCAAGAATTAGTTTTGAGTTCAGTTTTTGTTTCTTTCTTTCTATTTTTATTTATTTATTTAAATGTTTTGCTATATCTATCGAATGGATGTACCGATAGATACAGCAGATTAACAGATAGGCGGACAGATGGATGGGCAGATGGACGAATTGAAGGTTGGATGAATGGATAGATTATTAGATCTTATGTTAGAGGTTGCAGACTGAAGTTTTAATATATTCTCTTTGATTTTGTAGGTAACAGCATCTGACCCAGATAACGATGCTGACCAGGAGGCTTTGAGATATTCCCTTCATGGTCAAGGTGCTGAGAGCGAGTTCATCATTGACGAGGTCACGGGGAAGATATATGCTCAGAGAACATTAGACCGTGAGGCCCGGGCAGTGTGGCGTTTTGTGGTCCTGGCCACAGATGAGGGTGGCGAGGGACTAACGGGTTTCACCGATGTCATTATCAATGTGTGGGACATAAACGACAACGCTCCTATTTTTGCTTGTGCTCCAGACAGTTGCCATGGTGACGTATCTGAGAACTCCCCGCCTGGCACTTCCGTCATGGAGATGACAGCCACTGATCTAGATGATGCGGCTGTCGGACAAAACGCAATGCTGGCCTATAGAATTGTGGGTAACGCTGCCCTAAATGGAGCTAACAGCGGAGCAGATGTGTTCAGCATCAATCCCGCTACTGGGACTGTTTCAGTGGCAATGTCTGGCCTAGACAGGGAACAGACTGATTCGTACGTCTTGGTGGTTGAAGCACGAGATGGTGGAGGTATGATAGGAACGGCTACCGCGACTATACACGTGACGGACATCAATGACCACGTCCCACGTTTCCTGGACCGCACGTGCTCCGTACGCATCCCTGAGAGCAGTGAGCCCAACACGCTGATCATAGAGCTTGCCGCAGAGGATGCGGATGCTGGAGAGAATGGCCAGCTGACCTTCAGTGTGGTGGCCGGTGATCCCGAACAGAAGTTTTACATGGTGAGTCATCGACAGGAGCAACGCGGGACCCTTCGTCTCAAGAAGCATTTGGATTACGAAAGACCAGGTGAGCAACGCTTCAACCTCACCATAAAAGTGGAAGATATGCAGTACTCCAGCCTGCTGCACTGCACTCTTGAGATCGAAGACTGCAACGACCACATGCCAGTCTTCATTCCTCACTTTATACAGCTTCCAGCCGTACGAGAGGATGTCGCTCCAGGAACTAACGTGGCGAGTGTGGCTGCCAGTGATTTGGACTCGGGGTTGAATCGTGAGATCACTTATAGCATTGCTTCAGAGTCTGATCCTTACCATCTGTTTTCTGTGGACCAGTCAGGGTTGGTCACTGTGGCTAGTGAGCTGGACCGGGAAAAGGTCGCACAGCATCATTTGGTTATACTTGCGACAGACCACGGCACGCCACCGTTGACTGGCACCGCAACTATCCAGATGGCTCTGCTGGATGTCAACGACAACGGCCCTGAGTTTGAGGCTGCATACGCACCAATAGTGTGGGAGAACGTTTTGGGCCCACAGGTTGTGCGGCTTAACCAGAGCTCCACATTACTAAAAGCCGTGGACCGAGATTCAGAGGAGAATGGCAGAATGCTTTTTTTTTTAATGACAGGGAGAATGCCAACCAGTGTACTGGGGAAGGTTTACTCACCAGATCCAGATGACTGGGATAACAAGACGTATGCCTTCGAGGGACATGTTCCTAAGTGAGACCTTATTTTTTTTCTCTACTCCTCGTTCTTTCTACATCCTTTTCCTTTCTGTCCACATCGTTGCATCATCCCCTCCACATGGTTAGCATGTTTATACTCGTCTCCCAGCACCATACACATTTTTCCTGCAGTCTTTGTGTTATTTAAATGGGTCAAGGGATCTCTAAGAACAATGTCAAACCCTTTCTTCACACATCCCAGCATCTCTCTTCCTCTCTTGCTCTTCTCTATTGATGTTGTACACTTTACTGGAGAGGAGTATACAATGATAAGATGAGGCCAGTTTTAGATGTCTTGAGCACATAGCCCACCTGTGCTCTTGCTCTCTCAGAATCTTCAGTACACGGTGAGAACACTAGTGTCTTTGAGAAAGAGTAAAAAGAGAATATAGATCAAAATTTTTATTCCATTTGGAAACAAAAATGAATTAATTCATTGAAATATGTTTTAGCTTGTAACTGGAATTTGTTTTCTTTCATCCTTTCTATAGATTTTCTGTGCATGTGTACGTTCAGCAAGCTTAAGTGTAAATATTTATTTGAATCTGAGGTCAAAAGTTGACCTATAAATTGTGCTTTTCAGTTTTGGGAAGTTGTTGGGTTCAGACTAGTTTATATTTTTAGGTCAGTGAAATCTACAGTATATTTCAGTGCCATTCATCTGCTGTTCACAATTTGTTGCAATATGCTAGAAAAGGAAACACTCGCAACCCAAGGATTCACCCTCTAAATCATCTCTTAGCTTCCACTAACCATGTATTGAAGTGCATTCACTCTAGCCACATTTCAAATGACACTGAATTGTGTGTTCGTTGATCTGTTAGATTTACACTTTTGCTTTTTATTGTTTATTTATTGGCTGTTGGTTTTTGCAATGTCTTCTCTGAAAAGGTTTTGGAGTATATATATATACTGTATGTGTGTGTGTGTGTGTGTGTGTGTGTGTGTATATACAGTCAGACAATCAATATTTTAATACTTTAATCCAATTTTCTACCTGCAGTTATTTTATCCTGAACAAGCGGACAGGGTTCCTCATCCTAAAGGAGAACACTCCTCCTGGGAGTTATGACTTTCAGGTTCGAGTGTCAGATGGGCTGTGGCCGGATGCCATCTCTAGCGTGAAGGTGAATGCGAGAGAGCTACGGGACGATGCCATCTACAACTCAGCCTCTCTGAGATTAGCAGGTAGGTGATATTTACCTCATGACAGCATGACGTAGTGCTGTTTGACATTTAAATGAGATTTCAGCTGATCAGTAATCAGTGCTGACTTTTACGCTTGTGAATTTTTCTTATTTTTTCTTCTCTCCAATAATCTGCAGATTATTTTTTTTTCTTTTTTTTAAGTAAGATTAAAGTCTGAAAAATCTCCTCTTGATTTACATAGAATAATAGAATTATATATGTATTTAAAGCATTCAGCAATGGTGTCATAATAATTCCATATTGCATTTTCACTGGTCTTGTCTTACCTGCATACCTTTAAACAACTATAGCTGCCTTGATACTGCAAATGCACTGAGGTTCTGTCACGCTTTGGTACTTATGCACAGTCAACAAGAAACAAGATGCAGGCTCAGGTTTATGACAATGGCAGCTCTGATGCATCATTTTGTTTGTGCAGAACTAAAAGCCTGAAACCTAAGATTGCCTACAGTAAAACTATATTATTTAGTATTTTTGGAATGCAAATTGATTAAATAGTGTGGATGTAATGCTGCTGTAAATGTAACTTCCAATTTAAATCATTATAGTTAAAGGCTCTGAAACTAATTTGACTGATAATGAATGGCACTCTGTGTACAACACTGTTGAGACTTGAGCTGAGTCTGTGTCCGCTGCTTATTTCAGTCAGAGACATTAAAATGGTTTGATGGTTTGGGCCTGGAATCAGGATCTGTGTTGATTGCGTGCCATGTTATAGCAGTAAAACTCATGGGCATATTGACTTTGGTGACATTATGACAGTCAGTGTTTTAATGAAAACAAGACTGAGCTGAAATGAAATGGACTATAGCTGAGGTTTTTGTAGTTTTAAGACTAATAAATTGGGGGAAAAGGTCTTGTGGGAGATGGAAAGACACAATATAAAATGTAATAGCAGAAAAAAATAGCAAACTCATAAGCCTATAAAGAGATTTTTCTTAGAGTTCAGCAATGCAACTGATTTTATGGCATGCATGGAACAACAGCAAGCAGTTTTTATTACTGCTTACTGTGACTTCACAAATAACTTTGCAAATGTCTTGTAACCACAGTGTGTATGTAAATGCCTCTCCTTTCTATAATCTCTGACAATCCCTAATTGAAGTATGATTACATGTAGCATTAAAAACAATCTGAGTTACTTTTATTGCGGTTTCATAGTTTTATCCGATAATCTACCATGGTCTGTGCAATTAGATATTTGTCCCATATATCTGTTTAGTCTTTAAACTAAATAATGTGTGGTTTACCATTAACCCTCCAGGATATTGTGTTGCCAAAAAAATTTGAATTAAAGGCATTATTTAATGAAACTGATTTTATCTGGAAGTGTTCATGGTAAAATAATCATGAGTATGGATAAATTACACCCTTATTATTTATTTATTATTGTTTTATATTCAGCAATTATGTTCTACACAAAAAGGCCAAGTAGGAGAGTGCACAATTCTCTCTAATTAATAGTCATGATGAGCTAGGCTTTTAAGGGCAGTATTTAGGGAGAAATTATAATGATTCTGTAAATTTTAGTCTTAAGGAGTTTGATATGTATACAGATATCTGTTCAGAAAAGAAACATGCATTTATTTAGAGGTGATATTTCTATTTTTTGCTGTGGTGAGTTGCTATGCGACAGTGTTTGGCAAATTGGACATTAGCCTAGTGTTGGAATTGTTTCACACTCAGTCACCTTGAGTCCTTTGGAGAGTCTGGAATTTTATATTTAATGCCTCGAGAGTTTTATGGTCCCTAGAATTGCAACAGTTTGCAAAAAACAAACAAGGTTCAAAACAAGGCTTTCGGTTTCAGAAGGGGACGTCAGCATCTGTCAGTACTTCAGGCATTGTTTAAAATGCACATGAAAATGGCATCAGTCAATTGAGGTATGGGTTAATGTTCTTGCCAAATACTTAAGATGTTTATTTCTCTAGAGCCCTGTCTCAACATGCATTGAATTCTGGTCTAACTGATAGTTTGAATTTCGTACTATTTACTGCCTCCTTGACATTTGGAATCCCATTTCAGGAGCAAATGTTGAAGGCAATGGAGAGTCGTAAGGCCTGTTTAATGCTTCTGCTTTGAGATTATAGCTTGCTCTGTGCATCTCTGGAAGTGAACTGATTGTAAAGTGAAATATGAGGGAAAGCATGTGCAGAAGTTCTTTAGACACCCATGCTAGCTCATGGAGATAACCGAACACGTGCGCACAAACTCACACAAGTTTATTCCCATAACCTCTGCTCTGCCTGTACACAAACAGGGCACACACATACACACATTTATACATAAACTCCCACATTCTGCAGGACACGCAACATGAAAAGCTTGTTGATGTTGAACTTTTGAGGCTTCTGACTGCTTAGCCAGTTTGGACTTATCTTTAAAAAAATTGAAATGTCTAATGTTTTGATCCTCATCTCCTTGGCTAACCCTGAGTTTTCCACCCCAACAGGACTTTGAAGTATCATTAAAAAGAGAAACTGGGAAAATATTGGCATTAATTCGGTAGCTCACCAATTCACAAACACATATTGACCAGCCACACTGTCCCCAAGCCACAAAAGCTAAACCTCTAATTTAAGCTCTCTCTCTCTGTGTGTGTGTGTGTGTTTCCATCTGTTTATGAGTATAAATATGAGTATAAACGCAGTACACTTTGGTGTTCCACAGTTGTTCTGTTTGTTTGTTTGTTTAATTATTTATTTCATATTGTTGTGAGATCTCTTAGAAATGTTTGATAAAGTATTATCTAAAATAAAATCAACCTTGCATGTGAACATAGCTAGTTTTAAATGAATAAAATATAGGTCAACCTCCTATTGCTATTGCAAAATTAAACAACTGTGTTTAGACATGCCAAATTTTGTAAACAGTGTTACAAAAACTATAAACCTCATAAAAATAATAAGAATAAAAACGTGTGTGTGTGTGTATATACATACATAAATGTAATTCAGTTCAATATATATCAATGTTTATACATTTATTATAATTATATACATTTATAATAAATTTGTATACATTTTTATACAATAAAATAAAAATGTATAATTTTTTTCAAGTTTTACTTCCTGAAATTGATGTTTAGCATTCTTTGAAGGGTTAGATCCTCCTTTAATTGATCATTTGTTTAAAATAAATTAAGTGAATCCTTATTTTGTACCCTGTTTGTGGAAAATGCCATATAGATTTTTTTTAGTCAATCAATAAAATAGAAGAAAAAAAAAAAACGAATTCATCTATTTTTCTATCATCACAAATACACAAAAATTATTATTATTATTATTATTATTATTATTATTATTATTGTGTGTGTGTTTAACATCCAGAAAAGGTGTTAAGCACATACATTGCTTAATGCTCGTGGGAAGGGAAGCAGGTTTGATCTGGGCTTGGATCAAAGCCAGGTGTGAGGCTGTTCCCAGCTGTCATGATGAGTCTCCTCTTCACACACAGCTCCTGATGGGAGCAGACAGTCACCCTTCCTGCACCCCCCAAAAGTTAATCACAGTTTCCTTCCTTGCCCCCACCTAAACCTCCATGATTGACAGTCTTCAAGCACTAATGATTTACTTCGCGGAAAATTCAGGTCTATGCTGCACAGGGAATTGAAAGACAGCCGTCAGAGTGGGGATATAGGGCTGCGAGAGTAAAACAGAGACACAAACACAGCTTAAGTTATAGAATTTATACACCACATAGACACCACATGTAATTTGACGCAAAACAAAAACAAGGTCTTAAGGATTATTAGTAGTGTCCATTCAATATGTTGTGTACCTGGGTGTCATTATTTAGCTGTCAGAATGGAAAATATTTCAACAAATTTAAAAGAACAACAACACAAACCTTGGGAAAACATTACACTATGTTGAACTGACTGTATTTTTTGCCCATAATTTTCATTCTAGTTCAATTAAATATGCTGTGTCCTCTGAGGATTATTAAAGTTTATACAACTGAAAAGTATGTTGTATATACTACTATTCAAATGTTTGGTGTCAGCAAGAGTTTATTTTTAAAAGGATGTCTTATGTTCACGAAGGCTGCATTTATTTGGTCAAAAATAGTCAAAAACGGTAATATTGTGAAATATTATTACAATTTAAAATAATTTGGAATTTTGTCAGTCATTACTCCAGTCTTCAGTGTCACTTGATCCTTCAGAAATCATTCTGATATGCCGGTTTGCTGCTCAAGAAACATTTCTTATTATTATCAGTTGAAAACAGCTGTGCTGATCAATGAAGTATTATATTTATTTGCAATATATATATTTTTTGCAACATTATAAGTGCTTTTTCTGTCACATTTGATCAATTTTATGCAGACTTGCGGAATAAAAGTATCAATTTCTTTAAAATAATTATTATATAAAATTATTATACACACAACTTTGCATATTAGGAAGGTATTCTAAAATGTTTTTAGACATTCTACTAACTATAAGTAACTTTGAAACTACATGTCAACTAACTTATTATATTATTAGTAGAGTTTTATGTTAGGGTTAGTAGAATAAGTTGATGTATACTTTCAAAGTTACTTATAGTCACTTTGTGAGAAACGTCTCGGTTACGTATGGTAACCCTTGTTCCCTCAGTCTGCTTTGGTCAGCGGAGAACTGCTGGGCAAAGTTCTCCACCGTGTTGCCGAAAAGGCCGGTCTGGGACACGGGGGCGTTCAAGAATCGTGTCTTGTCCGTCTCGCGCATGTCGGCCAGATACAGCCAGAGATGGCTATCCTGGACCAACATAGTGGACATCGCATGACCCAGAGACCGCGCCGTAACCTTCGTCGC